GGGAAAAAATTTTATCAAGAAAAATAATCTTTTGAAGAAATTAGTATTTTTCTTTTTGTAAGTATTTTTTTTTTTTTAAAAAAAAAGTGAATCAAAGATATTGTTATTATGCACAATGAGTAGAACGTAAATAGTACATGACATTTAACAGAAAACTCTTCAGAAGACCTTAGTATTTTTGTTTTAAAGGATCATGGTATACACCAAAAGTCCCACATCGAATGGTTATAAAATAAGTAGTGGATTTATTATACTTTAGGTCCCCTCCCTTGCAATTAGATTTATAAGGGTGATTTCTAACTGGTTCTATCTCTTTGTTGCGCTATAGTAATTTTTTTTTTTTTCACAAAATTTAAATTTTAGTTCAAATCATCTGGTTTGAAGTACTTATGAACCAAGCCTTTAGTCACAAGGCCCAAATAGGTTTTCTATCGAAGACTCATTGGAGCTCTCTTTTTCTTTTTCGTTTTTTTTTTTTTTTTTTTTTTTTTTTTTTTTTTTTTTTTTTTTCCTGAGGCAGCTACGAAAAACATAACGTCACAATTTGAGGTAAATTTTTTTTCTATTGGTTTATGTATGAGAATTCTTGTGTGTGTCGTTAATTGTCTAGTTTGGTGCAGTATCCGATCACACCCTGGTACCTGGCAGAAATTTTGGAGTATGTAAAGCAACATTATTACAATCCTCTTATTTATATCTATGAAAATGGTAGTCTCTCTTTTCATCTCTCCTTATCATATTATTTTCAATTTATTTTACGGAAAAATCATTTGATGAACGTAATACCACAAGATGTAGAAAACTTTCAAAAATTATAGATGGTGAATAAGTGTTATTACTACTGATTTTCAAACTATTCAGAGATTGATGTCGACTTGTGTGGATCCTTAATAGTCCATTAGTTCTAAAAGTTAGAATATACATCACGATTATTTAAAATCAATGAATCAAAGATTACTAATTAATTAACGATGATGCAAAATATATTAGCATTTATAAAAAGGTTATTTATCTCATTTTACCTTGTGTTTTGAGTTTATCCCTTGTCTTTTTATTTCTATACATGTATACCAAACAATTAGGCAAATCTATACCTAAGGTTTCGAACTTTGAATTTCCCAAACTAATCCTTACTGGCAGTAACCCTGGCTTTTTATATTTGCAAATGTGTATATCATCATCACTCCCACTAAAATTAATATGGTAATTTTAAATGTCAAAATCAATTGACTATAAGAGGTACAGATTTACCCATTAAATTTAGTTTGATAGTATTTTTTGCAAAAACTAAAAATTAAAAGTATACATTTTAAATAAATCCAAAACAGAAGGTATAAAAAGACTTTATAAAATAGAAACGAGAAGTTTGATACTATATTCACGATTTGATCAAATTGTCTGAGAAGTTTGATACTATATTCACGATTTGATCAAATTGTCTCCCTTAATAATTTGTGGCTCTTTAAAGCCAAGTGTTGTCGTACGTGTTTGTTAGGTGGGGCTGAAGCACGTATAAGGTTACATGTTCTAATTGTTGCAATGTGTTCAACAGGTCAAAAAACTAGGCATAATTCAACATTGGAAGACTGGCCGAGGATTGAATACTTGCACGCACATATCGGGACTATACTTGATAGTATAAGGTATACGTTTTAGCTCTACACTGCTAGTAACATCTCCTATATTCTTTCTCAGTTGTGATCTGAACTTTTTATGAAGTGGTCACTATTATTAGGGTCTTCCTCAAGGATCACCTCCCTACCCATAAGATCCCGACTTGCATATGGGAACCAATTTGATTGAAAAATACCAAGATTAGCATTATTAAACGTTCATGCGCAAGAAACTGTCCAAAATTTTAACTTTGTTTTCTATTTAACCAACATTGCAACGAATTTCAAAGTTTAGAAGTAAATTGTCAAGATTAAAAGTTGAGAGACCGATTTGTCAAGCATGTAAAGTTGAGGGATGTCTGCACAAAAAAACTTATTAATGATTTTTTTTTAATGCTATCTAAACTTTTCATGAAGTCATTGTTACCGTTAAATTTAATCAAAATCACATTAGATAAAAAAAATTATATATAACATACAGTTTTTTATATTGATATGGCGATTGAAAATAGAACCTTTTTAGTAGTTTATTTTTTTAGTGTCTACCGGAGAAATCTTCTTCTTATTATTAATATTATTCTATATCTTATTCGTATTGCAGGCCTATTGTTATTGTTATTATTTGAGACGATTAGTCTTTGAATTTTTCACAGTTTTGATCCCTAATTCTAAAATATGATAAAACATCAAAATTTGATGGACGTAGTCTAGTGCCCGTCGTATAATAACTTGAAAGTTTACAAAAATGTTCAAAGTTTGAAAGGTTTTCAAGGGCATTGAAGAACATTTTACACCTAGTACAACTGAAAATAATATTGACATATTACCTTTCTTTACATTCAAAATATGTCTAATTTAATTTAGTTAGCGCGAAAATTAAAACTTCTATAGGTTTATAAAGTTAAAAAAAAAAAAGGTCACTAAAGTTTCTAGGGGCGTTTGTTTAAGCCATATGTATTACTACGTACATATGTTTTCTTTTTAGTTGTATATATGAGTTGAGTTGACATTGTTTTTTCTTCTTTAAACTGGAAGGAATGGTTCGAACGTGAAAGGGTATTTCACATGGTCTTTCTTGGATTGTTTTGAATTGATAGACGGCTATGAATCCAGCTACGGTTTGTACTACGTAGATTTTGATGATCCGGAATTGAGAAGACAACCAAAGCTCTCCGCCTATTGGTATTCTCATTTCTTAAAGAGAAAAGGCATCACTATGGACATCTAAACTTAGATTTTACTATGTTGTTGTCCCATGCATTTGCAGAGCATTAAAAAAAAAAGTTCCAAAAAAAATAAAATTTTATTTTAAGAAAAAAAGGAAAAGAAAAAAAGGAAAAAAACAAATAAAATAAAATAAAATAAAAAAGTAATTAAAAAGAAAAAAAGGAAGCTAAATAAAGATTGAAAAAAAAAAAAGTAAAGAAGGAAAAGAAAGAGGGAGGAGGAGGCGCCATCATATGGCAGTATGGGAGGAAAGAGCTTCAGTTCTTTTTAGTATGTATAGAAGAATATCTTTCCTAGTTTATATTAAATTTTATTATAAGAGAATTTTTCTGGTAAGATCCAAAAAAAAATAAATTATCAATAGTTCTCTATTTTCAACTATTAAGTCTGTATTAAATACTGTTTGTTCTACATACTTTTCTATTTGATGTGATTTGACCTGATTCAATGGTCAGAAACTGGCACTACTGATAGGACTTGTCTACTAGAGAAACTCATATTTTAAATATGATTAAACTAAAAAGTTAAATAAAAAAACTTTTAAAATATTGAAACAAATATTTCAATTAAACAAATACTTTAATTTTTGAGAACTTTTAATTTTTTAAGTTTGATTTTATTTAACATTTTGATTTAGAAATATTTTATAAATAGAGAGAGTATTTTAGATATTTGCATAAGAAGAAAGATAAAGTGGTATTTCGAAAAAAAAAAAATATATATATATATATTTATATATATATATATATATGGTGTTTTGAGCATTACATAATAAATGAATTAAACTGCGAATGAGCCTTTATCAAAAAGGAGAAAAATGGGGATATATTTAAAAGAAATTATTTTAGTAATTGCAAAGGAATGGCAAAAAAAGAGTATTTTAAAGAAAGACATTACAAAACTTTGAAAAAAAAAACAAATAGAAAAGAAAGAAAAGATTAAAAAAACCATGAAAATTTAAAGAAAGAATTCAAAAATGGAAAACAAAAAGGTGATATTATATATGTGATTTTATGTGAGAGCTTTTTACTATAGCAAAAAAGTTAGATGAGACTGTTTTTGAGAGCTTTTCACTATAGCAAAACTTAAATTTTAAACTCAAATCAATGAAATGAAGAGATAAGTCTCCTTTTGATGACAAATGTCAAAAGAAAGGAAACACCTTTTAGTTCTTTTTTATATGTAAAGATAAAGATAAAGATAAACAGATAAAGATTATGTACGTAAAGATGTGAGAACCATATGCTTCTCATCCGTAAATAAACAAATGGATTATTATCACTGGTGTCATCTAAACTTAAGGGTCATTCGCAATTTACCTCCCGAATTTTAAAAACTCTCATTTTACCCATGAACTTTACATTGTTCTCACTTAACTCCTTTTATTGTAATTTTTGTTAAAAACATATAGAAAAAAGAGAGTGATGTAGTCGCGTGATCTTTATGTTAAAAATAAACATATAAAAACCACATATTCACACTTATCTCTCCTTTTTTATCTTATTTTAACATAAATTCTTATAAATAGACTTAAGTGTGACAAATTTAAAATTTAAGAGATAAAATGAGAGTTTTAAAAATTTATGGGACAAAGTGACAATGACTCTGAAGTTAACCCTATGTCAAGGTAATGTCTATAAAGAATCCTGTGCTAACATAATAATATAATAAAATATACTGAGAGTTTTGTGGCCATCTATAATTGAAAAATGAAGTCCTGGAGTTCAAAATGTCAAGAGCTTTGCGGCCATCTATAATTGAAAAATGAAGTCCTCGGGTTTAAAATGTTAAATGCTACCACTTAGCAACTTTCTACTGAAGGCATATACCGGGTATGCAATAAACAAAAGTGGCAAAAAGGGTAAAAGCACAAGCTCTACATAGACTGGAATAGTTCTCCCGTTTCCGAAAATTCAAATTAGACCACGTCATGTTTCAAAGAATCAAAGTACGTAGTGTGAGAGACTAATGAGAGTCACACAAGGAATTCTAAAAGCACAAGCAGCAAATGGAGACCAGAGTAATGAAAAAGCTAACCTTGCTCTACAAGCACCTAAAATTGCTAAAATATTGTTGTTGTCAAATTTTGTTTCTCAATCTCTACCACCCACGTCTCAACTATGATTGACTACGGCCATTGGCGCGAGAATGTAAACTTTCCGAATCAAAACAAAAAAGAAGAAAACTGCAAGAACACAACAATTTAATTTCAGAGTTTGGTGAAATCACACCTACATCTCCGCGAACTCCCCAGAGGAAATTTGATATGCACTATCTGAACAAAGTTGTTTACAAGAGAGTTACAAACTTCAATCAACTCACAACCTAACACTTTCCTGAGAAACTGAGCAAGAAAATACCCAAGAAAATTCACCTTTTCTCTCACCCTTCTCACTCTATACCGTCTCTCTCTCTCTCTCTAGGATTTTCTGTACAAGTTGACCTCTCTCTCTCTCTAGAATTCTTTTCGAAGAAGAAGAAAATAGAAGCTGAAAAGAATATTACAATGAAACATAATTATGTTTCTTTTATCTAAAGACCACGTAAGTCAGTCCAATCATATACTCCCACTTGTGCTGCTCTAGTTCATGTCAGCTTCAAAACATCTCCTCTAATAAGCGTTGTTGTTCAACTCAAAAACGACTTGTCATTTTTGTCTTCTTCAAATTTCAGCTTTGTTAAACTTTGACATACTGAGTTATATTAGAATTGATTCAATAATCTCCACCTCAATTCTATATATGACCAGGTAATGCTCCCCTTTTATTATTTCTCTAGATCCTGGCTCGATTAGCTCTTCAATCACCCATTACCTATAGCAAGCAATTTAAGACAATGCTTAAACTTGCTTAGTGAAACAACCTTTGTTCCCATGTCTGCAAGATTCTCTTTTGTAGGAACCTTTTCAACATTTATCATTTTTTGAGAAACCTTTTCCCTAATAAAATGATGTTTCACTTCAATATGTTTCGTTCTCATGAAATACAGGATTCTTACATAGATGAATAACACTTTGACTGTCTGAGTAGATGACTGCATTTTCATCAGTCTATCTGAATTCTCTAAGCAGTCCATGTAGCCATATTCTGTTGGTTTTCGAATCAAATTCGGATGCGGAAGCGTGGGGATAGCGGATCAAGTATAACAAAAATTTTCATAAAACCTTTGAGATACTTTATAGATTATATTAATTTATGAGCGAATAAATTAATTACATTAATTCATTTATTAAGAACTCAATTACGAATAATGTCTGACGGCCGATTAGGATGATAACTTGAGTTCTTTGACCTCGAATAATCCTTGCTCCAAAGCCTTGTGTTTAGAAAACTAATGTCTTTCACGTCAATTCCTAAAATCCACGAAGACGTGTGTGTGGGCACACTTGAGACAAAACGGGTTAGAATAAACACTCAAATTTCCACAAACACCAACGCATGCACGATGTGAAATTTTTTGAGAAAAATTTTCCTTCTCCCTCTACTAGGGATTTCGGCCAGCCCTCAGAAAATTAGGTCAAAAAATTGTCTCGCACAATTTTTATCATCCTCTTATTTATAGAGTAGAAGTCAAACTTCTAGAATGAATCCAATCTCTATCTCCTATTTGAATTTGAAATAAAAAATCTCCTCATCCTTATCTCAATTTGGCTGGCCATGTGTAGGGATTCCCATCCTTGTATGTGGCGCCAATTCCAGATAGGGAAGGAAGAGAAAATCATCATTTATCCTATAGTCCAATTTTAATTCAAATTTAAATTCGAATTTAAGTCAAACTTAAAATTAATTTGAATTTTAAATTGAACAACTTATCAAATAAGTTTAAAAGGATAAATTTAAATTATATTCATAATTCAAATTCAAATTTAAATAATCACATTATTTAAATAATAATTAATTCTCAATTAATTATTTTTGAGTATTTAATATTTAGAATTCCGTAATTCTAAAAAATCTCATTTTGCCATTTGTGTCTGGCAGAATTACAAGGATGACGCGGGGACTAATGGACCTATAATCCCGAGTTCCAATAAAATTAATAATTAATTAAACACTTTAATTAATTAATTAATTCTATTAATTCCAATAGTTACTCCACTATAAACTTGGAATTGCACTCTCAAAATTATAGACATTATTTACTTCTAAACTATGAAGTGTCCATTTGATATAGTCATCGCATATAGATCAATCCTCCATAAATAATTCATAATTAGAGTTAGGTAGAATCCGTTAACCTCTCTAATTATATCTTCATCCTTGAGTACCATTGATTCTCTAATGGATAGTGATTCATAAAACCCACTCATGAACCAGAGCGCTCTTACTAATCCAAATACCGAATCAACACTTAAGAGAATTATTTATCTGCTTCTTTCTCAAGAAGGAATGGATTCCATCTCGTATAATAACATTCCCAGCTACCTACTTCATCATGTCTCCAAAATACAAGGAATAGGATTTAGGGTCTCAGAATCCGTACTGAGTAAATCAAAAGACACAAATCTATAAATAGGAGTTTGTTAAGAACTCAGGATTAAGATCATTCTATATATGACCATCGGTAGACTCAATTAGAATATCTATACTTAACGAAAATTATTAGAAATTCATATTGTGTCTGTGTCCCTGTTCCACATAATCTCATCATGCAAAATACACTCATTCAATATCTCACCATATTAACAGTACGGATAGCACCGTTCCATTTTAAATGGCAATGACATGTATTAATAATGTTTTAATTAAAGATTCTGAACTTTAATTAAATTCATTATGAACAATGTTTTTTATTATTATCCTTAAACATTATCCTCTCGTATATAACATTTATATACAATGTTTAAGGTTAGATAAATAATCATGAAATTTTCATTTGATATTCATAAAATATTCATAAATATATGCACATAAAATGATGAATAAACTCTTTTATTAAATAAATAATAAATATCATATTACATCTCATGCTTCTAGGACACCATTCCCAACATATTCCTTCTTTGATTGCCTCTGTAGCTGCCATATATTCAGCCTCAATTGTAGAGAATGCAACTACTGGTTGTACTTGTGTTTTCCAGCTGATACAATTTTCGCAAACCATAA